CAACCCAGCTTACCAGCCCAACCCAGCCTAGCACAGCCAGTCAAGCCAGCCAAAAAGCGAAGCAAAAACAAAACCGCCCCCCAAATATCGAACTGCATTTGCATTAGTTTCAAACTTTCATTAAACGCGTCCCGAACTGCATTTGCATTAGTTTCAAACTTTCATTAAACGCGTCCAAGCAAAGTCCAGCCCAAGCCTCCCAGGCCCAGCCCCCACCAGCTAGCTCGGCCCCCAGCCCGCCACTCCCAAAATGAAAACTTCAAATCAAAAACCAAAACCCGCCCAAAACTTCCGCGCAAAACTTTCGCCCAAAACTTCCAGTTCAGCTACCAGCCCAACCCAGCCTACCAGCCCAACCCAGCCTAGCCTTCTCAGGCCTCCCCAACCCAGACACCCCAGCCAGCCCTGCTTCACTCCCCGTCCAGCCCAACCCAGCCCCAAACGCTCAAGCCTCCCCAACCCCCAGCCCTCAGCCCCCCCAGCCCCCCCAGCCCCCCCAGCCTCCCCAGCCTCCCCAGCCTCCAGCCAGCCCAGCCAAGTCCCAAAATCAAAAAGCAAAAGCAAAAGGCAAAACCCCCCAAAACCCGGCAAAACCCGGCAAAACCCGGCAAAACCCGGCAAAACCCGGCAAAACTCCGGACCCAAACCCTATACAATTTCTATAAACCCTAAACCCTAAACCCTAAACCCTAAACCCTAAACCCTAAACCCTAAACCCTAAACCCTAAACCCTCAAGAAAGTGATAAATAGAAATTGCTTGTCCTTGTTTGTAACCACCGCTAAGGCCAAGCATTTCGGATAAAACTGGCGTTAGCTTCTTGATAATCCAATTTCGCACAACCACAACTTCAACCATTAACTCAGCCCAACCAACTCAAAACAGCCACACGATCAAAAACGGAACAAGCTTCTTGATAAACCAATTTCTCCATAACCTCCAACCCAGGCCCACTTTCCAATCCCCCAAATCCAGGTCCAAGCACCAGGCCCTCCAAGCCCAGGCCCCAGACCCCAGGCTCCCAGGCCCACCCCAAATCCAAGCTTCGAAATCCAGCCCCAAGCCCAGTCCCAACTCCAGGCTCTAGACCCCAAATCCAGGCCCACCCCAAATCCAGGCCCAATCCCAAATCCAGGCCCCAGGCCCCAAATCCAGGCCCCAGCCCCAGGCTCCAGACCCCCAAATCCAAGCCCCCAAATCCAGGGTTCAGACCCCAAATCCAAGCTCCAGTCACAATTCCAGGCCAGGCCCCAACTCCAGGCCCCATGCCCAAATCCAGGCTCCAGACCCCAAATCCAGTCCCAAATCCAAAATCCAGGCTCCAGACCCCAAATCCAGGCTCAGTCCCAAATCCAGGCACCAGGCCCCAAATCCAGCCCCCAAATTGACCAGGCCCCAGGCCCCAAATCCAGGTTCAAATCCAAGCCACGAAAGGCCAGGAGCAGGCCACGAAAGGCTAGGAGCAGGCCACGAAAGGCCAGGAGCAGGCCACGAAAGGCCAGGAGCAGGCCACGAAAGGCCAGGAGCAGGCCACGAAAGGCCAGGAGCAGGCCACGAAAGGCCAGGAGCAGGCCACGAAAGGCCAAGAGCAGGCCACGAAAGGCCAAGAGCAGGCCACGAAAGGCCAGGAGCAGGCCACGAAAGGCCAGGAGCAGGCCACGAAAGGCCAGGAGCAGGCCACGAAAGGCCAGGAGCAGGCCACGAAAGGCCAGGAGCAGGCCACGAAAGGCCAGGAGCAGGCCACGAAAAGCCAGGAGCAGGCCACGAAAGGCCAGGAGCAGGCCACGAAAGGTCAGGAGCAGGCCACGAAAGGCCAGGAGCAGGCCACGAAAGGCCAGGAGCAGGCCACGAAAGGCCAGGAGCAGGCCACGAAAGGCCAGGAGCAGGCCACGAAAGGCCAGGAGCAGGCCACGAAAGGCCAGAAGCAGGCCACGAAAGGCCAGAAGCAGGCCACGAAAGGCCAGGAGCAGGCCACGAAAGGCCAGGAGCAGGCCACGAAAGGCCAGGAGCAGGCCACGAAAGGCCAGGAGCAGGCCACGAAAGGCCAGGAGCAGGCCACGAAAGGCCAGGAGCAGGCCACGAAAGGCCAGGAGCAGGCAACGAAAGGCCAGGAGCAGGCCACGAAAGGCCAGGAGCAGGCCACGAAAGACCAGGAGCAGGCCACGAAAGACCAGGAGCAGGCCACGAAAGGCCAGGAGCAGGCCACGAAAGGCCAGGAGCAGGCCACGAAAGGCCAAGAGCAGGCCACGAAAGGTCAAGAGCAGGCCACGAAAGGCCAGGAGCAGGCCACGAAAGGCCAGGAGCAGGCCACGAAAGGCCAGGAGCAGGCCACGAAAGGCCAGGAGCAGGCCACGAAAGGCCAGGAGCAGGCCACGAAAGGCCAGGAGCAGGCCACGAAGGCCAGGAGCAGGCCACGAAAGGCCAGGAGCAGGCCACACGAAAGGCCAGGAGCAGGCCACACGAAAGGCCAGGAGCAGGCCACGAAAGGCCAGGAGCAGGCCACGAAAGGCCAGGAGCAGGCCACGAAAGGCCAGGAGCAGGCCACGAAAGGCCAGGAGCAGGCCACGAAAGGCCAGGAGCAGGCCACGAAAGGCCAGGAGCAGGCCACACGAAAGGCCAGGAGCAGGCCACACGAAAGGCCAGGAGCAGGCCACGAAAGGCCAGGAGCAGGCCACGAAAGGCCAGGAGCAAGCCACGAAAGGCCAGGAGCAGGCCACGAAAGGCCAGGAGCAGGCCACGAAAGGCCAGGAGCAGGCCACGAAAGGCCAGGAGCAGGCCACGAAAGGCCAGGAGCAGGCCACGAAAGGCCAGGAGCAGGCCACGAAAAGCCAGGAGCAGGCCACGAAAGGCCAGGAGCAGGCCACGAAAGGCCAGGAGCAGGCCACACGAAAGGCCAGGAGCAGGCCACGAAAGGCCAGGAGCAGGCCACGAAAGGCCAGGACCAGGCCACGAAAGGCCAGGAGCAGGCCACGAAAGGCCAGGAGCAGGCCACGAAAGGCCAGGAGCAGGCCACGAAAGGCCAGGAGCAGGCCACGAAAGGCCAGGAGCAGGCCACGAAAGGGCAGGAGCAGGCCACGAAAGGCCAGGAGCAGGCCACGAAAGGCCAGGAGCAGGCCACGAAAGGCCAGGAGCAGGCCACGAAAGGCAAGGAGCAGGCCACGAAAGGCCAGGAGCAGGCCACGAAAGGCCAGGAGCAGGCCACGAAAGGCCAGGAGCAGGCCACGAAAGGCCAGGAGCAGGCCACGAAAGGCCAGGAGCAGGCCACGAAAGGCCAGGAGCAGCCCCCCCCCGCGTAGCCCCAACCTCAGGGCAGTCAAAACGTCTCGCACAAAGGTTTCGTTCGAAACGTTTCGCAGTATTCGCGTTCGATGTTGACACCGAGTACATACGTTGCCGCGTGAACTTGTTTATGCGACTTGAAAGTCACAATGATGCTACTGGTATCTGCAACTTTTGCACTGAATCAATTTCGTGGCCGCCCCCCCCCCCCCCGTAGCCCCAGCCCCAGGACGGTCAAAACGTCTCGCTCAAAAGTTTCGCTCGAAACGTTTCGCAGCCCCCAACAAATTTGAAAGACCAGCCCCAGCCCCCAGCCTCAGCCCCCGCCCCAGCCCCAAGACGGTCAAAACGTCTCGCTCCAAAGTTTCGTTCAAAACATTTCGCAGCCCCCAAGAAATTGGGAAACATGGTTCGCAAAAAAAAAACTTTCGGTCAAAACGTTTCGTTCAAAACGTTTCGTTCAAAACTTTCGGTCAAAAAGTTTTTGGGACCCAAACCCTTAACAATTTCTCTAAACCCTAAACCCTAAACCCTAAACCCTAAACCCTAAACCCTAAACCCTAAACCCTAAACCCTAAACCCTAAACCCTTAAACCCTAAACCCTAAACCCTCAAGAGCAGGATAAATAGAAATTGTGTGATTTTCGTTTCGATCTGCAGTTGCAATAGTTTCAAATTTTCGCTAAACGTGTCCAACCAAATCCAGCCCAAGCCAGCCACAGCAGCCCAGCCCAGCAGCCGACCCGCCCAGCCCATCCAGCCCCCCAGCCCAGCCCTAGCCCCCACCAGCCAGCTCGGCCCAAAATGAAAACTTCAAGTCAAAAAACAAAACCCGCCCAAAACCTTCGCTCAAAACTTTCGTCTAAAACTTCGGACCCAAACCCTATACAATTTCAACCCCCTAGCCCTTTCAAGTCAAAAAACAAAACCCTCCCAAAACTTTCGCTCAAAACTTTCGCCCAAAACTTTCGGTCAAAACCGGAATGCGCGAAATCACAAATCAAAAACCAAAACTTTCGCCCAAAACGTTTCGCTCAAAACTTTCGGTCGAAACCCCGGACCCAACCCCGGCTGGATTTCACCTGCGAGCCGCATGACGCAGGCAAGCTGAACCAAATCCCGCCACCCTCTTTGCCTTCAGATTTTAGACCCAACCGTCTCAGCCCCTACGCACCAGGGCCCAGCCCAGCAGCCCAGCTGTCAGGCGCTCATCCTCAAGCAGAATGCGGGCAAGCCACGAAAGAGAGGCGCAGCCGCCACGCTTATCCTCAAGCAGAAGAGGGGCCAGGGAGTACAGCCGCCACGCTTATCCGGTGCCAGGCAAAGAGGTGCAGCCGCCACGCTTATCCTCAACCAGAATGGGGGCCAGGGGGAAGAGGCGCAGCCGCCACGCTTATCCAGAATAGGGGCCAGGGGGTACAGCCGCCACGCTTATCCGGTGCCAGGCGACCAGAATGGGGGCCAGGGGGAAGAGGCGCAGCCGCCACGCTTATCCTCAACCAGCATAGGGCTTATCCGGTGCCAGGCGAAGAGGTGCAGCCGCCACGCTTACCTCAACTAGAATGGGGGCATCCTCAACCAGAAGAGGGGTCAGGGGGTACAGCGGCCACGCTTATCCAGTGCCAGGCGAAGAGGTGCAGCCGCCACGCTTATCCTCAACCAGAATGACGCTTATCCGGTGCCAGGCAAGAGGTGCAGCCGCCACGCTCATCCTCAACCAGAATGGGGGCCAGGGGGAAGAGGCACAGCCGCCACGCTTATCCTCAACCAGAATAGGGGGCAGGGGGTACAGCCGCCACGCTTATCCGGTGCCAGGCGAAGAGGTGCAGCCGCCACGCTTATCCTCAATCAGAATAGGGGCTAGGGGGTACAGCCGCCACGCTTATCCGGCCAGGCGAAGAGGTGCAGCCGCCACGCTTATCCTCAACCAGAATGGGGGCCAGGGGGTACAGCCGCCACGCTTATCCGGTGCCAGGCGAAGAGGTGCAGCCGACCAGATAGAGGCGCAGCCGCCACGCTTATCCTCAACCAGAATAGGGGCCAGGGGGTACAGCCGCCACGCTTATCCGGTGCCAGGCGAAGAGGTGCAGCCGCCACGCTTATCCTCAACCAGAATGGGGGCCAGGGGCAAAAGGCGCAGCCGCCACGCTTATCCTCAACCAGAATTGGGGTGCGGGGGGTACAGCCGCCACGCTTATCCGGTGCCAGGCGAAGAGGTGCAGCCGCCACGCTTATCCTCAACCAGAATGGGGGCCAGGGGGAAGAGGCGCAGCCGCCGCGCTTATCCTCAACCAGAATAGGGGCCAGGGGGAAGAGGCGCAGCCGCCACGCTTATCCTCAACCAGAATAGGGGCCAGGGGGTACAGCCGCCGCCCCCCTACCTTCCCCCCTTCAACCTGTCAGGCGCTCATCCTCAAGCAGAATGCGGAAGCCACAACAAGAGGCGCAGCCGCCACGCTTATCCTCAACCAGAATAGGGGCCAGGGGGCAACCAGAATGACGCTTATCCGGTGCCAGGCGAAGAGGTGCAGCCGCCACGCTTATCCTCAACCAGAATGGGGGCCAGGGGGAAGAGGCGCAGCCGCCGCGCTTATCCTCAACCAGAATAGGGGCCAGGGGGAAGAGGCGCAGCCGCCACGCTTATCCTCAACCAGAATAGGGGCCAGGGGGTACAGCCGCCGCCCCCCTACCTTCCCCCCTTCAACCTGTCAGGCGCTCATCCTCAAGCAGAATGCGGAAGCCACAACAAGAGGCGCAGCCGCCACGCTTATCCTCAACCAGAATAGGGGCCAGGGGGCAACCAGAATGACGCTTATCCGGTGCCAGGCGAAGAGGTGCAGCCGCCACGCTTATCCTCAACCAGAATGGGGGCCAGGGGGAAGAGGCGCAGCCGCCACGCTTATCCTCAACCAGAATAGGGGCCAGGGGGTACAGCCGCCACGCTTATCCGGTGCCAGGCGAAGAGGTGCAGCCGCCACGCTTATCCTCAACCAGAATGACGCTTATCCGGTGCCAGGCGAAGAGGTGCAGCCGCCACGTTTATCCTCAACCAGAATGGGGGCCAGGGGGAAGAGGCGCAGCCGCCACGCTTATCCTCAACCAGAATAGCAGGCCGCCACGCTTATCCGGTGCCAGGCAACGGTTCATCCCGCCACGCTTTCCTCAACCATAGGGGGGCCAGGTGGAGAGGCGCAGCCGCCACGCTTTCCTCAACCGCCAAGAATAGGTTCAGGGGGTACCGCCGCCAAGCTTATTCCGTTCCAGGCGGAGGTGGCAGCGCCACGCTTAATCCTCAACCAAAAATAGGGGCCAGGGGTACAGCCACCACGCTTATCCGGTGCCAGGCGAAGAGGTGCAGCCGCCACGCTTATCCTCAACCAGAATAGGGGCCAGGGGGTACAGCCGCCACACTTATCCGGTGCCAGGCGAAGAGGTGCAGCCGCCACGCTTATCCTCAACCAGAATGGGGGCCAGGGGCAAAAGGCGCAGCCGCCACGCTTATCCTCAACCAGAATAGGGGCCAGGGGGTACAGCCGCCACGCTTATCCGGTGCCAGGGGTGCATCAACCAGAATGGGGGCCAGGGGGAAGAGGCGCAGCCGCCGCGCTTATCCTCAACCAGAATAGGGGCCAGGGGGAAGAGGCGCAGCCGCCACGCTTATCCTCAACCAGAATAGGGGCCAGGGGGTACAGCCGCCACGCTTATCCGGTGCCAGGCGAAGTGCCAGGCGAAGAGGTGCAGCCGCCACGCTTATCCGGGGTTGGGTTCCCCCCAACCCCCACCCCACTCCCGCCCCCCCGGGCCCCCTCCCCCCACCCCCCACCCTCCTACCCGCCGCCCCCCTACCTTCCCCCCTTCAACCTGTCAGGCGCTCATCCTCAAGCAGAATGCGGAAGCCACAACAAGAGGCGCAGCCGCCACGCTTATCCTCAACCAGAATAGGGGCCAGGGGGTACAGCCGCCACGCTTATCCGGTGCCAGGCGAAGAGGTGCAGCCGCCACGCTTATCCTCAACCAGAATGGGGGCCAGGGGGAAGAGGCGCAGCCGGGTGCCAGGCGAAGAGGTGCAGCCGCCACGCTTATCCTCAACCAGAATGGGGGCCAGGGGGAAGAGGTGCAGCCGCCACGCTTATCCTCAACCAGAATAGGGGTCAGGGGGTACAGCCGCCACGCTTATCCAGTGCCAGGCCAGGGGGAAGAGGCGCAGCCGCCACGCTTACCGCCACGCTTTTCCGGTGCCAGGCGAAGAGGTGCAGCCGCCACGCTTATCCTCAACCAGAACAGGGGGAAGAGGCGCAGCCGCCACGCTTATCCTCAACCAGAATTGGGGCCAGGGGTAAAACCGCAGGGCCCCGCCAACGCTTAGTCCCGTGCCAGGCGAAGAGGTGCAGCCGCCACGCTTATCCTCAACCCGAATAGGGGCCAGCAGGGGGTACAGCCGTCCACGCTTATCCTGGTGCCCGGCGAAGAGGTTCAGCCGCCACGCTTATCCTCTAACCAGAAAAGGGGGCCAGGGGCAAAAGGCTCAGCCGCCACGCTTATCCTCAACCAGAATAGGGGCCAGGGGGTACAGCCGCCACGCTTATCCGGTGCCAGGCGAAGAGATGCAGCCGCCACGCCTATCCTCAACCAGAATGGGGGCCAGGGGGAAGAGGCGCAGCCGCCGCGCTTATCCTCAACCAGAATAGGGGCCAGGGCGAAGAGGCGCAGCCGCCACGCTTATCCTCAACCAGAATAGGGGCCAGGGGGTACAGCCGCCACACTTATCCGGTGCCAGGCGAAGAGGTGCAGCCGCCACGCTTATCCTCAACCAGAATGACGCTTATCCGGTGCCAGGCGAAGAGGTGCAGCCGCCACGCTTATCCTCAACCAGAATGGGGGCCAGGGGGAAGAGGCGCAGCCACCACGCTTATCCTTAACCAGAATGGGGGCCAGGGAGAAGAGGCGCAGCCGCCACGCTTATCCTCAACCAGAATAGGGGCTAGGGGGTATCCGGTGCCAGGCGAAGAGGTGCAGCCGCCACGCTTATCCTCAACCAGAATGGGGCCAGGGGGAAGAGGCGCAGCCGCCACGCTTATCCTCAACCAGAATAGGGGCCAGGGGGTACAGCCGCCACGCTTATCCGGTGCCAGGTGAAGAGGTGCAGCCGCCACGCTTATCCTCAACCAGAATGGGGGCCAGGGGGAAGAGGCGCAGCCGCCACGCTTATCCTCAACCAGAATACACGCTTATCCGGTGCCAGGCGAAGAGGTGCAGCCGCCACGCTTATCCTCAACCAGATAGAGGCGCAGCCGCCACGCTTATCCTCTCAACCTGAAGAAGACGGAGGCGCATGCAGAAGTGGTTGCTTATCCTCAACCAATATGGTCTCCCAGGTGCTTATACTCAACCTGAAAAAAGACGAAGGCAAGGGACAAGGCCGGAGGGCTCGCATGGAGAGGTGGTGCGCTTATCCTCAACCAATATGGGGCACCAGGTGCTTATCTTCAACCTGAAGAAAGACAGAGACGGGACGAGGCCGGAGGGCTCGCATGCAGAAGTGGCTCGCTTATCCTCAACCAATATGGGGTACCAGGTGCCTGCTCATGCTCTAATGACACTCCCCCATTAAGTCTATTCTGCAACCGAGTGCACACATGTGTGCAAGTGCTCGCTATGCATGACAAGCCGAGCTAGTTCCGCTCACGTGGGCTCAATGTGAAGAGTCGTAGTCCTGCTCTGTGTCCGAGCTTCGGCCTATAGGTAGCCGCTTACGGCTGGAATCTCAGTCGTCACAACAGCGAGTGCCTAAGATCATGCCCACGGCCCTTGTTTCTGAGATCGACCGGCGCAACAGAGATGTCCCAGAACATGGGCGAAGGTTCCAGAAGCTCAGACCACTCGATTCGGGGCTCCGAACTGGAGGACTGCGAGGACCCTTTCGACTGTTGGGACTGGGTCGACGCAGAAATGCAGCACGACGCCGAGGAAGATGCACGTGGAGGAACAAGATGGAACAAAGAGATGGAGATGCAGAGGGAGTTCAGCGAGCGTCTTGCTGACCTGACGGTGAGGTACCTGAACATGCAGGGTGCCGAGATCCATTCCTCGAAGCCTTATCGCCTGCTCTGCCAACTCGAACCGCCCGGATCTTTCCGGGAAGCTTGGCTCGCCCAGCTGCACGAGGGCAACAACCCCGATCGCTGCCTATCCCTGCAAGAACTACGTGTCAAATTTCAGAAGACCATGAAGCCCATCCCGCCGGAAACGCTGCAGCATCGCAGCACCAGAGAGGTCTTGCTGTTGGACTTGGACAGCAGTCCTGCAGGACCCATTCCCATCGAAGGCACGCAACTGGTTTTGGACGGAGACGTGATCAGCGACGCTTGGAGCTGGCGCGAACTCCTGGACCGCAGCTTCCACGACGAGGTCGTGGACGTGCAAGTTGTCTACATGTCAAAGCAAGCCACAGACCGCTAGAGCTCCAAACGCGAGCAGCAACAAACGCAAAAAGGAGCGAGCGCTGCAGCAAGGGATACGGCAGTCTGGACACGGCCGGTTTGAGCTGTCGTTGCATCTCAGTCCTGCATCGGTCAATGACATGGCTTGTAGACTCAATAGACGGTGATCCAGTCTGGAATCACCTGTTCCTGAAAAGATTTTGTGCTGTTCTTCGTTTGATTAATTTGCTCGCTGATGGAACATGCTTGAGATTTGATCGCAGCCGTGCGGATACAGCCTTAGCTGAGCTTAGGAACCGCCTTATCGCAATTCGTTAGGATGGCGCCTTGCCCACGGTGTGGCTGGCCAATGCAAGGCCGAGGAAAAGGATGGTGCAGCAATCGACAGTGCCGCGAAGCTCAGAAAGAGGAGAACCTCCGCCGGAAGAGCGAGGAGAAGAGTGCTCAACAGCAGAAACGTGCTGCGCAAGGAGCGGGCAGCCGTGGACCTGTGCCTGTTGCAAACAGCACTCGGGCCCAGAGGCAACAACTTCAAGCTGACCGCGCAGAAGAAGGACTTGGCAGCCGCGGGCCTTTGCCCACGGAGAAAAGCAGACAGGCGCAGGGACAACAACTTCAAGCTCAACGTGCAGAAGAAGGACTTGGCAGCCGCGGGCCTGTACCCACGGAGGAACGCAGGCGGGCGCAGGGACAACAACTTCAAGCTCAACGCGCAGAAGAAGGACTTGGCAGCCGCGGGCCTGTACCCACGGAGGACAGCAGGCGGGCGCAGGGACAACAACTTCAAGCTCAACGCGCAGAAGAAGGACTTGGCAGCCGTGGTCCTTTGCCGATCGCCACAGAGGCCCAACAGCGGGGCTACCCGTTCCCGGATGAAGATGTGCTGACCTCGGAGCAAGCGCAAGCCCACTACTTGGCTTTTACGCGAAGCTGGAGTCGATTCGGATTGTCCAGGGTGTGTGAAGCATGTCACACTCTCACAACCGCGAAGCATTGCAGGCCGGCGAAGCAAACCGGCAACATGCTCTGCAGGAACTGTCGGGAGAATGTCACCAAGATCTTCTTGCCCACTCCACCACCCATCCCAGAAGCGCTCCAGAGCCTGCAGCCGATCGAGCATCACCTGCTCGCCATGGCGCGAATCTCTCAAGTCCTGCTTGACAAGCTTCCTTCCGGCGGGCCAAGTGCGCAGTGGGGCCGCATGTATGCAATGCTGGTCGACGAGCCTTTCATTTGCGACGTGCTGGATGGCGCAACGCTCGAAGAAGATGGCACGGTCCTAGTGGAGGGAGTCCAAGGCATGACCGCTTCGCCGGCCCGCCTCGACCACCTGTACCAAGCCTTGCGGCAGCTGAAATCCCAGCACCGCCTCTACCAGGCGAGCCCGGCTGTGGACAAAGCCCTGGACGATATGGCTGCAATTCTCCATGGCAAAGCACCCACCGCCAAGGACGATGCTGCAGCAGCAGCGCCTGTGTCACCGGCCGAAAGAGAATCGGAAGAGCTCGAAGTGACATACATGCTTCCCAAAGAGCTAAAGGCTCCCCGAGCCGACACACACGAGCTACGAAAGGCCAGGGACGTATCAGCGATGTGCGACGACATGGACGTGAAGCTCTTTCCGCACCTGTTTCCCACCGGCCAGGGCGGGTGGCAGGACCAGTACGGCAGCTTCTCTCAATATGCGCGAAAGCGTCTCCTGAATCTCGACCCACGCTTCGAGGCGTCCGCCGGCTACATCATGTGGCTGCTGGAGATGCACATCAAGAAGCGCCTCTCGGGCAACGTGAATGTCAGGATAGGCCAGGAAGGCCCCAGCGAGAAGACCAAGTACAAGGACGGGAAAGGACGAGTGTTCGCGGCTCTCCGGGACATCCCTGGAACCAGCTCGTACGTCTTCGCAAAGAAGGGCGTCGCGGTCAACATGTACGAGCAGCTCGGAGCGCCCAAATTCTTCATGACCCTGTCGTGCCATGCCCGACAGCCCGACATCCTGATCGCCGTCATCATGGCACGGCTGCTCCGGCTGCGTCCTGCGAAACCGCCACAAGAGATCGAGAGAGAAGCCGCTCAGATCCTGCAGTGCTACCAAGCCGACGAGAAGTTCACCTGGGACGGTCTGTCCCCGATTGTGTGATTTTCGTTTCGATCTGCAGTTGCAATAGTTTCAAATTTTCGCTAAACGTGTCCAACCAAATCCAGCCCAAGCCAGCCACAGCAGCCCAGCCCAGCAGCCGACCCGCCCAGCCCATCCAGCCCCCCAGCCCAGCCCTAGCCCCCACCAGCCAGCTCGGCCCAAAATGAAAACTTCAAGTCAAAAAACAAAACCCGCCCAAAACCTTCGCTCAAAACTTTCGTCTAAAACTTCGGACCCAAACCCTATACAATTTCAACCCCCTAGCCCTTTCAAGTCAAAAAACAAAACCCTCCCAAAACTTTCGCTCAAAACTTTCGCCCAAAACTTTCGGTCAAAACCGGAATGCGCGAAATCACAAATCAAAAACCAAAACTTTCGCCCAAAACGTTTCGCTCAAAACTTTCGGTCGAAACCCCGGACCCAACCCCGGCTGGATTTCACCTGCGAGCCGCATGACGAATGCAAGCTGAACCAAATCCCGCCACCCTCTTTGCCTTCAGATTTTAGACCCAACCGTCTCAGC